TTTTAAAAAGTGAGAGGAGCCATGGCCCCGTTGCCTTTTCTTAGTTGAGTAGTTCCCTCACTTATTACAATACAACTCAACTGAATTTAAGAGTTTATTCATCACTGGCTCACTGGCCGAGGCCATCATCAATACAATTAGGGCGACCGAACTAAACTGATGGTATACTGGACTGACTCACCAATCGTTCAAACATCTTCTAAACAAGCTTGAGTTTGTATTTGGGGTAGGGGGTTTTTTTTTTTTTTTGGTGGGGGGGCATAATTGTTCTGTGATTCACTGCTGGGGGGAGGGTTTTTTTTTTTTTTTTTGTTGTTGATCAGGGGGGGAGGGGTTTGAAAGGGGACACAAGATCTACTGCTAGAATCCATACTTGGTATGATATCGAATAAATTTTTTTTGGTACCCCTATCCATTATTTAGTATATCAAGATAGCCCTAACTTCTGACCAAAATCATCTGCGGAAGCAAATAGCAGAACTTATCAACTGCAGTGTGCTGATGCAGTCCACGCAGTAAAAGTATATTTGACAGTCCTCGCTGCTGCTATATAAATTAATGTATGTTGCTTGGAAATCATCAAAATTTGCTTCTTGAATCATTTCTAGTTTGCCCATTTCTTTAAACTCCATAATTGAAATTTAACATAGTGTTTGTCTACCTGGAAACTGCGATCATAGTACATTTCAAATTCTTGCACAAAATAATGGGTAAAGGGTTCAAACTCCATCACCATTTGTAATCGAAGATCATAAGATGGTCTACGAGGAGAAAGAAAACGTTAGCAGAAAGAGGGGACCCACAAAAATATTTATCAAGTTACATGTAAAAGATGATGACAGCGAAACAACAAAAATGTTATTAATGGGTAGTCTACGCTGGGTATATGATTTAAAAAGTATGATTGAAGAAAGGTAAGATCACCACGATCCAGGATTTTAACTTGTGTCGTCTCTGGGATTTTCTAAATCTTTTGGGTCCTCGCCCCTTTGTTCATAACGCAAATGAATTCACTGCATTCGATACTTCATGCATGGCTCAGCAGACCGCAGACAGCAGACAGCAGCAGAAGCAGTTGGTTTTGCTGGTGCTTCATAACTTATCTTTCCTCTGACTCTAAGAATATTTATTATCTTGTGCAGGCATTCTGTTTATCAAGAATAATTTACTTGCGAAGAAATATTTGGTTAACCTTGCAGTTTGAAGCAATTCATTGAGATAGAGAGAGACAAAGAGATTTAGAGAGAGAGGGAGAGNCGTTTTATCTATTTTGAAAATATTTTATTAAATAATTACCCCACCCTGATACGTAACCGTTACACCCATTATTTACTCTGATACGTAACCGTTACACCCACTATTTACTCCGGCGTGAGAGTGAATCAATGTGTCTGCTGCAGAGATAACACTACAAAAACTTGTTACTGTTCATCATATAATTCTTTGTGTGTGTGCGTGTGACTACCATGAGAACACATTACCCAAAGCTCTCTTTTGCCAGGCCTTAAAACTATACTCAGTCGTACCACCTCTGAGTCTCTGACCCCCCAAAACTCCCTATCTCACGTTCTGACCCACCATCACCTTTGTCTTAGTCCTGACCCACCACCACCACCACCACCACCCAGGTTTAGAGTCTTCTTCATCCTCAAACGCCTCCCACAGCTACATCCAGTGGAGGTTCCCAGTTCCACCAGAATATTCCACTCCACCACTGTCACCGGCCACTGTTGTTAACAGTTAATCTTCAAGAACTCTTCCACGTGGCGAGGCTCCAACTGAGCACCGGGTAGGTTTTAGACGGTGTACATCAAGGCACTGGCACATGCTGGAGACTGGAGAGGTCACTTGTGCTAATCCCACGGGCTGCCGAGGTGCGATGCCTTGCCCACCGGCAGTGATGAAAAAAGTGGTGGCGCTAAAAATTTAGGGTTTGACCAAGTTGAAATAGCGAGGTATGGTGTCGAACTGTAACAAATTTTCTTGGGTCATGTTTTTATGTAAGGCTGATGTTAGTATTTTAGAATAAATTATGAAAAAAAATATCGTTTTCGGTTGGTAAATAATCCTACAAAAATCATATTTCCAAGATAAGTCAAAGCTTTTTTCTTCCGCCTTTTTTATTTAACGGTCAAATATATTCGAATTAACTTATCCATATTTTGATTAATTATTTTTTTTATTTTGTTTAAAGACAAACTACCCATACTAAGATTAGAATATTCACGAAAAATAAATCTCTCATTTGAGAGACTCCAAGAAATTATTAATATTCAAATTCAAAATATTTAAATTTATAATTTGTTTGTGTTATCATTTGGGCTGCTACTTATGGTTAAGTTAATTTTTTTTTTCACCATATACTTATCTTGTCTTTACAACAATATTCATCGTATACTTATTCTCACATTTATGATACAATACATCGACTATAAATAATTTATATACGATTCAAATAATAGTTTCATATAACACCACAATAAACATGATATAAATCATATTTGTAACTCGATTTTATAATAATTTTTTTTGATTTTTCTTTGTTCATCAAACTCATTAAAAAAAGTGCCTTTTTTTTTTGGCAAGAACAATATTCATCCCCATGATCACATGATTCACATCCACATTTAGTGCAGTCATTAAAAATTTTAAATTCACTAAAATACCCCCATTAAAATTTGTTGAAATCATAAAAGATAGTATAAATTTTTGTGAAAACATAAAGGAGATTATAGGAATTTTTTAAAAAGTGAGAGGAGCCATGGCCCCGTTGCCTCTTCTTAGTTGAGTAGTTCCCTCACTTATTACAATACAACTCAACTGAATTTAAGAGTTTATTCATCACTGACTCACTGGCCGAGGCCATCATCAATACAATTAGGGCGACCGAACTAAACTGATGGTATACTGGACTGACTCACCAATCGTTCAAACATCTTCTAAACAAGCTTGAGTTTGTATTTGGGGTAGGGGNTTTTTTGGCAAGAACAATATTCATCCCCATGATCACATGATTCACATCCACATTTAGTGCAGTCATTAAAAATTTAAAATTCACTAAAATACCCCCATTAAAATTTGTTGAAATCATAAAAGATAGTATAAATTTTTGTGAAAACATAAAGGAGATTATAGGAATTTTTTAAAAAGTGAGAGGAGCCATGGCCCCGTTGCCTCTTCTTAGTTGAGTAGTTCCCTCACTTATTACAATACAACTCAACTGAATTTAAGAGTTTATTCATCACTGACTCACTGGCCGAGGCCATCATCAATACAATTAGGGCGACCGAACTAAACTGATGGTATACTGGACTGACTCACCAATCGTTCAAACATCTTCTAAACAAGCTTGAGTTTGTATTTGGGGTAGGGGGTTTTTTTTTTTTTTGGGGGGGGGGCATAATTGTTCTGTGATTCACTGCTGGGGGGAGGGTTTTTTTTTTTTTTNATCACTTGCTTATAGCACTTGATTTGGACGGTATGCTACTACCCTTTCTAATAATATATCCTTTTTGGATGTGGCATATACAATTTCCCCCCTCAGAGTTCTTTTTGCATAAACAACTCTAACAGAGTAATCAAGTGCATGAGTTTTTCGTCACAACAAATAAGACTTATGAATGCATTAGTTACGAGAAGTCTTCAAATTTTAAGTTCTAAATTATACATGGAAAATAAAATTTGGAAGTTCAATCCCCCTTGGTTTGAATCTAGTTGTCCCATACAGATCAAATAATTCCAACAGGAAAAGTACTTAAAGGGTGAAATGATGTCCGTCAATGGTGCATGATGGTGAATTTGAACACTCCATACACCAATAAAGATTGAAAGAATAACTTCTCGTAAGATGAGCTGGATTTGTGAGCACTAAGCCATTATATAGGGCACTTGGGTAGAAAAACTGCAGCAGCTTTAATACCATGTTAGGTAGGTATAGAGGACTGGGTATTGACTACAACATCGGAATTTTTTTTAATATAATGTATCACTCATCACTTTTTTTAGGTATATATACCACCTTTCGGGGTGTAATTTATTTACTTTTGGGATGCACTCATCTTTGGAGTTCACTTATCATTGTNAATATAATGTATCACTCATCACTTTTTTTAGGCATATATACCACCTTTCGGGTGTAATTTATTTACTTTTGGGATGCACTCATCTTTGGAGTTCACTTATCATTGTTTAGATGAATCTTATCATTTTTTAGGATAAAACTTACTACTTTTTGAAGTTTTTCATTTTTTGATATAATACTAAATAGTGAGAATTCTATCCTGCACTGTTTCTCTACCGAGCCAAAAGTTATGGAAGAGCTCTTCTTTGACAACCTTGTTTCAGAAGACTTAACAACTATATGGCGTTGGAGTTGGAATAAAATGCTCAATAGTAGGTAAAGTGGCATTAAGCCCTCCATGCACATTCAAAGATTGAAGTCACTGCAGGACACTCTTCTAGCGCTCGAAAGAAATAAGTGATAAATAGTTTTATCAATATTCTTTTGAAAAGATTGATTCATAAACTCCATCCTGCAACGTATCGTTTGAGCGCACATAAATATTGACTATTAATCAGGCTGATTAACCTCTAAGTTGTGAAACAAAGAACCAGAATCAAAGATGATTTATTTCCCCTTGACGAATAGGGGTGGAAATGTTTTCCAGTTTCATCATACATGTTCATGTATCAGGGACCCTATTTCTGAAATTGGCTCCAACTACGGTACCAAAAAATAACCATTTCAGTACTACACGTCTTAATTTTCATCAATCAGAAGATTACCGTGTAAAGTTTGCATATTTTGTTATTTTATTTTACTTTATTATTTTTAAGATCAACAATCTTAAATAAAATAAATTTTCAAGAGTAATAAATAAGCTAAAAAAGAAAGAAAAGGAAAAAAAATTAAAAAAAGAAAATGTACAGAAACAACATAAACCTTGCATCAAAAGAAGCTGCAACAACTGACCCAAATTTTCAGAATATAATAAAAGCTACACCAAAGCATCAGTTATCAGATGGACCTCCAGGTTACAACAAACAGGTCCCAAATAAAGCTATTTTCCTGTTATTTTTCTCTCTCCTTCCTGGTTTAGAATGAGCATACATCAAAAAACTATCACAAACAGCAACAGACAACACCAAAGAATCATCAGAGCCTCAGAAATTGAGGGAACACTGAGGATCTTTATGATATCTTATAGACTATGACACCAAAACACTGACATACATATCCAAAATATATTTACATGTGAAGTTTATTTCTGAAAGAACGAAACATATTCATGTATATGAACCAGCACCGGCACATTGTCATAGCTCAACTTGCACAACGAAGAATTCAATCAGGATCCAAAAATCAAATGGCTACGGTTCCTGAATTATTGACGAGTTTGTATGCAGAATCTGATCACCTTTGTTATCTGAACATCCATGTAGCTTTATAAGATTCTCTTTGTGCAAAACTGCAGAGATCCAGAAAACTTCACCCGCTGAAATTGAACAAAAACCCATGGGGAATTCAACAAACAGTCTTCAATGATGCACCAGCAATTAGACAATGACAGAGTTTCTGAAACACTATGGGTATTGAAGTTTGGGAACATTCATGATGTACGATGTAGTGCGTCCTCTTTTGCAGCTGTGCGCTTCGTGACCCTCTGCTTTTTTCGATCATTGACATTAACCAAGCTAGACCTATCTCTTGAGGCTTTCTTCTTCCCAAACTTAAGATCTTCACCCCGAATCATGTAAACATTTCCTGCTCCTGGTATGCTAAAATCAGCTGGGTTTCTGTTAAAACTGCATACTTCATTTTTGGAAATGCTTTTCACAGGCAAAAGATTTCCAACGCATTTGGTTGAATTTTCGAGTGCATGATATTGCAAGGGGAGCTCCATACAATTTGAAGGACCGAGGATCCCTTTCCGCTTGTCCTGACCAGATATAGACTCATGAATTATGCGTGAAACACCATCTGCAGATTNGCGCATTTGGTTGAATTTTCGAGTGCATGATATTGCAAGGGGAGCTCCATACAATTTGAAGGACCGAGGATCCCTTTCTGCTTGTCCTGACCAGATATAGACTCATGAATTATGCGTGAAACACCATCTGCAGATTGAGATTTTGATTGTCTGCGGCCTTTATTTCCTGTAGGGACATAAGATCCTTTTCCCTTTTCTTGTTCTTGCAAGTGAGCTGATATTGGACCTCTAACACCAGCAGGACTTCTAAAATTTCCATCATACTGAGACATAACACCAAATGGATTAACGGCAGGAATAGCAGATGATGGGTTCATTGAGCTTGCGCTGGTGTTATACACCCCAGGCACTAGCCCAGTGAACTGCCTAGAATGATGATATGGAAACCGAGATTTCTGAAAATTCTGTTTTCCATCCATAACGAACTTAGGGTGGCAATCACAGGGAGAGAAAGGTTTCTCAAGGAACTTTTTTGGATCCACATTGAAAGGTGTACCATCCATAAGGCTGAGCAATTGCATTGCAGGTATGGTTTCATTAGAATATGGATCTAGTGATACTGTAGCCTTTGGATAAAGCTCTGGTCCCCTGTGCTTGGGAAAACATGGATATTCCACCGATGAACGTTTTGAAGATCCAAAATCCAAGTTCTCATTCTGCATATCAAGGCCGGAAGCATTGAGATCTATAGTATTCAAATCAATGTCCCTGATAACTTTCCCTTTATTCAGTGGGCCTGGGGATTGTGCATGCATTTCCATGTTGCTTGACTGAGTAGCACATTTCTGAGAAACGTCGAGTCCAAAAGGAATATGATTTGAGGTCCTGTGGGACCATAAGTGTTCTACTGCTTTATTATGCCGTGACCCAGCATGGCATGTCTTATATGCCTCTAAGACCTGCATCTTAGTAGGAGAGGTCCTCTCTGCCATCTTATCATCATACCATTCACAATTCTGAGCATTTCTATTTCTCAAGGAACAAGAAGCAGAGAGTTGGACTCCACTTGATAGCTTTTGTTGACTATGTGGAAATGAATGAAGCATTGCTAAAGTTGGATTTTCCTCCAGTTGGCCCACGTTGAAACGGCTTCTCCTGACATGAGAGAAGTTAACAAGATCTCTTTTGGACCTCCCAAAATTCTCAGCTGTCTTGATGATGCCATTCCTTGCATTCCCAGTTGGAAATCTACTCATGGTGGGGTGTTCCTTCGATAGGCAGTAATTTCTTTCACTTTCATTAAGAAACCTCTCATACTGATTCTTTGCCAAAAGTTCGACGATTTCCATGGGTATGTCATCTGACATCCCTTCCACCAATACCTTATCAGCTTTTTGGTCGTTTTGTTCTTTAATAACTTCAGAATGTCCCTGAACTCCAAGGGTTTTCCCATTGTTGAATGGGCTAGATAAATCCTGGAAAAGAATATTACAAGTTTCATCTTATGGAGTTTACTTATTCAAATGCATAAGCATATAAGTTGGATTGAAGCAAACAAACAAAGCAAAATACCATGGAAGAGAAAACCTTAAAAAAGGGGTGGCCGAGGCTCCCGCCAATGCGGGATCTAAAGTGGGTCAAATGCATGTAGTCTTCTATTAAAGTTAATAGGCAGAGCTTCATGTGGACACCATGTGAAATATATACCTAAATGCATTGCATGCGGTGAACAAACAGTACTGTAAATGAAAAATAAGCTGCCCACAGCAAGAAATTTGCTTCATATTTGTATGACTCAATAAGCATTGGATCATACTTATAAGACATCAGGAACCAAGTAAGATATACTTATTCTCTAAGCTTCCAAATTATGACAAGCTGTGTTTATATTCATACCCAGAAATCACCATCAATTATTTTGAAGTGTCTAAACTGTAAATGAGTCTAAAGGTGATGGGCAACAATATATTTAGATCTCAGACCTGCCCGGATTTAGACTCGGAATGTGCAATATCCTCTAGTCAAGACAGTGTATCTAATCTGATTATTATATTAAACTTTGACAAGGGGAATTATGATAACTAATACGGGTCCCTGCCTCAAGTCGGTTAAAAAAATTCCCCAGAGGGTTAACTAATGCCAAAATGTCAAACCACTGTTATAGCCACTGTGATGAACATTAGTTCACACTTGATATCTGATCAGAATAAATAACACCACCAAGAAATCCTACAACAAAAAGAAAGATTAAAACTTAAAAGACAAAAACCGCAAAGATGAATCACAAAACAATTTTATCAGGCAAACATTATATAGAAGCAAGTTTAAGAAAGATCGAGAGAAAATATTATGAATAATTTTCGGGAGAAAAAGCTTATACCAATTGTTGATGCAAAGAAAAATTGTCTTCAAGCAGAGGGGAGCTATTTGGTCTCTTCTGAAGCATAGCTGTTCTGAGGGCAAGTTTCTCATTGAGGTCAGATAATAATTCTTCTCTTGAAGACAGAGTTGGGGCAGATTTATGCAGAATGCTTGACTCTCCAAGATGAATACCATATTTCCTTTCTGGATCTTTAGCAGGCATGTTCTTTGGCTTAGGCAACAGAGGATCAATCTTTTCATTTCTTTGTGCAGATATATAGCTGCTTAGAGTAAGATCCAGCCCTATGTTGGCGGATACATCATGTGCTGACTGAGGTTTTACTATTTCAGGCACAGCCCTCCTAAATCCTGCCTCTTTTCTTTTGATTGACCCTTCCCCACACATGGTTTTACTCCCAGGCGCTAAGGAGAACTGCCCATCTTCAATATGAGGCATTTTATTTTTCTTTTTAGACAAACTAGATTTTCTTTCTGTTTTCCGTGCAGACAGATAACTTCTAAACTGGGGTTTTGTTGCTCTACCTAAGCATGCATCATGTTTTGATATGGAGAGACTGCTATCAGCAATAGCATCAGAGTTGTTTGCATCTCTAATTTTGATGTGATTTATGCTGGACTTAACTTCTTGCAAAGACGATAGGGGAGAATGAGTCTGCTTAGTCTTCCTAACCAGCGTATGACTTTTAGCAGTTCCAAGTTTTCTCAACTGAGTCTTGATGCCACTTGCTAAACCCCCTCCTGCAGATCCCTCTTCTTCTGATTCCGAATTGGAAATCTCAACAGTCAATATAGTGGTGTCCTTATCTCCGCTGAGGGGCCTGACTTTTTTGGCCATGTCATCTAGGGCATTTTGGTGTCCATCTTGAGCCGCCTTTCTTTTCCTTTGAGTACCCTTAAGAACCTTCCCAACATTTTCTTGCAGAGCCACCTGATCCATGGGAGCAGAAAGTGAAGCTAACCCAGCAGATGCAATGGCAAATGCTCCGCAGGAAGCACCTTCTGTGTTCGCAGGACCATTTTCAGCATTTCTTTTTGCGCCCAGAAGCTCACTCAGCAGACGCACCTTTCGCATTTTTTGACGTGGCAAACCACTTGTATTATCATANTCTCCAAGATGAATACCATATTTCCTTTCTGGATCTTTAGCAGGCATGTTCTTTGGCTTAGGCAACAGAGGATCAATCTTTTCATTTCTTTGTGCAGATATATAGCTGCTTAGAGTAAGATCCAGCCCTATGTTGGCGGATACATCATGTGCTGACTGAGGTTTTACTATTTCAGGCACAGCCCTCCTAAATCCTGCCTCTTTTCTTTTGATTGACCCTTCCCCACACATGGTTTTACTCCCAGGCGCTAAGGAGAACTGCCCATCTTCAATATGAGGCATTTTATTTTTCTTTTTAGACAAACTAGATTTTCTTTCTGTTTTCCGTGCAGACAGATAACTTCTAAACTGGGGTTTTGTTGCTCTACCTAAGCATGCATCATGTTTTGATATGGAGAGACTGCTATCAGCAATAGCATCAGAGTTGTTTGCATCTCTAATTTTGATGTGATTTATGCTGGACTTAACTTCTTGCAAAGACGATAGGGGAGAATGAGTCTGCTTAGTCTTCCTAACCAGCGTATGACTTTTAGCAGTTCCAAGTTTTCTCAACTGAGTCTTGATGCCACTTGCTAAACCCCCTCCTGCAGATCCCTCTTCTTCTGATTCCGAATTGGAAATCTCAACAGTCAATATAGTGGTGTCCTTATCTCCGCTGAGGGGCCTGACTTTTTTGGCCATGTCATCTAGGGCATTTTGGTGTCCATCTTGAGCCGCCTTTCTTTTCCTTTGAGTACCCTTAAGAACCTTCCCAACATTTTCTTGCAGAGCCACCTGATCCATGGGAGCAGAAAGTGAAGCTAACCCAGCAGATGCAGTGGCAAATGCTCCGCAGGAAGCACCTTCTGTGTTCGCAGGACCATTTTCAGCATTTCTTTTTGCGCCCAGAAGCTCACTCAGCAGACGCACCTTTCGCATTTTTTGACGTGGCAAACCACTTGTATTATCATACTGCTGATCATGATTCCTATCTCCAGCCAAAAGCTGACCGCTCTCAGGTGATGCATCATCATGCATTTCCAGTTCTAGGGAAGGAACTCGGATTGTATTATTGTGAACAATGTTTGCCATCTCATCAATCTTACCAACTTCCTTGGATGCCTCGGAAGCTGTCAGTACAATTCTCTGTTCATGATCTGCAGAATTTGTTTTCTCGGCTAGACAGATTTTAGCAAAACTCCTACCTGAGCATTTGGGGTATTCAGTTGCAGGAAAAAGACCAGCCGCATCCTGAATACTGCAGTTTGGCTCACGAATGCCAACCAATCCACTGTTATTTGATTTGAGAACAAATGCTCCAGAACCTGAGGTGGATATTTTGAATATGTCGGTCGATAGACCTGTTCCGTCTGTATGTCTCTTTTGATCAGCATCATCTTCTGAACCATTCTCATGGCCTGAAAGGTCAGGAAGGGGCCACACACAACATAGACATTAAGTATGGAGAAGAAAAATGCCATATCAAATACAAAGGAAATTAAATAATAGTATGAGATTATAGCAAAGTGTATACCAGCATCGGCCAAGTGTCCCACTTTGGCATTCTTTTCTTTTTTATAACTACATGATGACAAATAATTTTCATCTCCATTTAAATTAGCAGGAGCATTGACATCAGCTTTCCTCCCNTCTTTTTGCGCCCAGAAGCTCACTCAGCAGACGCACCTTTCGCATTTTTTGACGTGGCAAACCACTTGTATTATCATATTGCTGATCGTGATTCCAATCTCCAGCCAAAAGCTGACCGCTCTCAGGTGATGCATCATCATGCATTTCCAGTTCTAGGGAAGGAACTCGGATTGTATTATTGTGAACAATGTTTGCCATCTCATCAATCTTACCAACTTCCTTGGATGCCTNCTGCTGATCATGATTCCTATCTCCAGCCAAAAGCTGACCGCTCTCAGGTGATGCATCATCATGCATTTCCAGTTCTAGGGAAGGAACTCGGATTGTATTATTGTGAACAATGTTTGCCATCTCATCAATCTTACCAACTTCCTTGGATGCCTCGGAAGCTGTCAGTACAATTCTCTGTTCATGATCTGCAGAATTTGTTTTCTCGGCTAGACAGATTTTAGCAAAACTCCTACCTGAGCATTTGGGGTATTCAGTTGCAGGAAAAAGACCAGCCGCATCCTGAATACTGCAGTTTGGCTCACGAATGCCAACCAATCCACTGTTATTTGATTTGAGAACAAATGCTCCAGAACCTGAGGTGGATATTTTGAATATGTCGGTCGATAGACCTGTTCCGTCTGTATGTCTCTTTTGATCAGCATCATCTTCTGAACCATTCTCATGGCCTGAAAGGTCAGGAAGGGGCCACACACAACATAGACATTAAGTATGGAGAAGAAAAATGCCATATCAAATACAAAGGAAATTAAATAATAGTATGAGATTATAGCAAAGTGTATACCAGCATCGGCCAAGTGTCCCACTTTGGCATTCTTTTCTTTTTTATAACTACATGATGACAAATAATTTTCATCTCCATTTAAATTAGCAGGAGCATTGACATCAGCTTTCCTCCCCTCATTTCTGTCCAGCTGTAAAGCTAGATGTGAATCTGATGGCATCATTGCAGCATCCCCATGGGACGGAATGTGAGAACAACTCCCACTGGATATAAGCCTATCGTGTCTCAAAACGACTCCAATTTCTTCAGAAGCATTTGCAACACCAATCTCCTGTAGGCAGTTTTGGCAGCGCCACCATCTGAATTTGGGGACATGTAAAGGAGGAAGCACACTTAACTGCTGCTCTGACATATTAAGGTCACCATCCAATGCAAATGGTGAACAAATTCGCCAGTCTTTTATGCGCATTTCAGCAACATATCCACTGCAACCATTATAGGAACATGTCACAAAACGGAAAAAAAAAAAGTCCACGAAAGAAACCACCAGTCTATCATCCATCACATAGACTAGAAGACTAATGCATGCATTGCGAAGTAGCTCTATAAAGTGCCATCACATACTTCTCCTCAGTTGTTGCCTAACTTCTGCTTTTAACAGCTTATAAATTGCCAATTTAGTCAATGATGGGGATCCTTCCTTCCAGATGACACTCATTTTAGCATAAGAAGTTCAATATCCACATGTTAAATGTTACTTCATGCCAATGATCATCAACAATAGATTATGTCTGTAGAGAGATGAAAATATTTACAGCTTGATAAAATATTTTGGAACATACAATTATAAATCAGCCAATAATAAATCTGTTTCAATTTTAATTACTTATGGGGACCAGTTTTACAGTACGGCTTGGTCTCTAACTTCATATCTTAAATTTCAGACATGAAAATGTAGGTATTCAAACCTGAAAACATATGAAGGTCAAAATATTGAATACTTAAACTTTTAATAAGGCCCCATGCTTAATTCCAACTCAAACTCCTTCAGCTGACTGATGCTTTTTTCCAACCACTAAAACTCAAAAAATCTAAAGGATGTTTTTCATCTATTTGCCCTAAGGACAAAATGCTATACAAAAGTGCTCACATGCATCAGGGTTATGGCTACTAATCATTTGGAAGGGGAGAAAAAATAAGTACTAGTAGTCTTCAAGGGAAATGGAGTAACATTAAAGCATCTATTTGCAGCCATGTCAATCATACAACAATCTAATTACCATAAGATCTTCTAGCAAGTGTGCATAGGCATGCATATACAGACTTGTAATAACGATTAGATAGTCTTCAAACTAAGTCCTAGAGTCCATAAAAATTTAAACAAATTCATTNTATAAGATCTTCTAGCAAGTGTGCATAGGCATGCATATACAGACTTGTAATAATGATTAGATAGTCTTCAAACTAAGTCCTAGAGTCCATAAAAATTTAAACAAATTCATTNTTACTTCATGCCAATGATCATCAACAATAGATTATGTCTGTATAGAGATGAAAATATTTACAGCTTGATAAAATATTTTGGAACATACAATCATAAATCAGCCAATAATAAATCTGTTTCAATTTTAATTACTTATGGGGACCAGTTTTACAGTACGGCTTGGTCTCTAACTTCATATCTTAAATTTCAGACATGAAAATGTAGGTATTCAAACCTGAAAACATATGAAGGTCAAAATATTGAATACTTAAACTTTTAATAAGGCCCCATGCTTAATTCCAACTCAAACTCCTTCAGCTGACTGATGCTTTTTTCCAACCACTAAAACTCAAAAAATCTAAAGGATGTTTTTCATCTATTTGTCCTAAGGACAAAATGCTATACAAAAGTGCTCACATGCATCAGGGTTATGGCTACTAATCATTTGGAAGGGGAGAAAAAATAAGTACTAGTAGTCTTCAAGGGAAATGGAGTAACATTAAAGCATCTATTTGCAGCCATGTCAATCATACAACAATCTAATTACTATAAGATCTTCTAGCAAGTGTGCATAGGCATGCATATACAGACTTGTAATAATGATTAGATAGTCTTCAAACTAAGTCCTAGAGTCCATAAAAATTTAAACAAATTCATTAAGCATGCGAACTATGAATCTAAAAAACTTACCGTATTGAGAAATGCTGACACTGTTCTGCCACATTCGTCTCCATAGCAACATTAAGGTCTATCGATATTGAATCAATATTTCTAACTAGTGATCCCAAGGACTTGGACACAGTAGTACCGGAATCGCTTTGCTGATGGTTTTCTTCCACCGCTACAATACTCGTCTCCATGTTAAATGAATAAACTAAAACCACAGCATGAAGCAATAAATCTCTCATGCACACATGATAACACACGTATTGAGTTACAAGATAAAAAGAAGAAATTCTATTGTTTCTCAACATGCACAATATACAAAAATATCAAAGTGCACCATAAGTTTAGGTTTCAATTACCAAACAGACATGCATGTCAAGGTTCATTTCTAAACACCAGCCAATCTCAAGTAAAAAGAAAATAATCAATGCCGCAATCAAAATGGTCTCAATGCTGCAATCAAAACACCATTAGAAATGAATAACAAGTCCAAGCATACATTTGTTACAAAACTTCACTGGAACAACTCAGACAAACCACCTTCCAAAAAAAAAAANTCTTCTAGCAAGTGTGCATAGGCATGCATATACAGACTTGTAATAACGATTAGATAGTCTTCAAACTAAGTCCTAGAGTCCATAAAAATTTAAACAAATTCATTAAGCATGCGAACTATGAATCTAAAAAACTTACCGTATTGAGAAATGCTGACACTGTTCTGCCACATTCGTCTCCATAGCAACATTAAGGTCTATCGATATTGAATCAATATTTCTAACTAGTGATCCCAAGGACTTGGACACAGTAGTACCGGAATCGCTTTGCTGATGGTTTTCTTCCACCGCTACAATACTCGTCTCCATGTTAAATGAATAAACTAAAACCACAGCATGAAGCAATAAATCTCTCATGCACACATGATAACACACGTATTGAGTTACAAGATAAAAAGAAGAAATTCTATTGTTTCTCAACATGCACAATATACAAAAATATCAAAGTGCACCATAAGTTTAGGTTTCAATTACCAAACAGACATGCATGTCAAGGTTCATTTCTAAACACCAGCCAATCTCAAGTAAAAAGAAAATAATCAATGCCGCAATCAAAATGGTCTCAATGCTGCAATCAAAACACCATTAGAAATGAATAACAAGTCCAAGCATACATTTGTTACAAAACTTCACTGGAACAACTCAGACAAACCACCTTCCAAAAAAAAAAAAGAAGAAAAAAACTGATAGAAACCCTAGTTTGTCATGACAAGTGACAACAAAGATAAAGCTGTTCCCAGTAGCAATTTTGCAACCAACGTGCGATAAAATAAAGCCACCTAGCTAAATCAACTCAACAAGATACAAAATGAACTATAGAATAACGCCTATAAGTCAAAGCCACTATTAGGGTTTTCATTTTTCTAAAACTAATTATATACCACAAAGGGAATAAAACTGTACCAACGTTTTCAAAAATTAAAGTAAATCCCAAAAAGCAACTTCAAGCATGTTTTTAAAAACACCCAAGGCAGATAGTACAATCAAGCATATGATTCCACAAAATAAATTTAGGGTTTGTCAGATTGCGAAACAATTCGTTGTATCTTACCGATAAATCCCCCTTTTTAACCCAACAAAACAATCAAGATTAAATATAAGATACCATAAAATGACACAGTATCTCACCTAAAATCAAACCCAAAAGGGAAAAACATTAAATAACCAACAAATTCAACGTACAAATCACATCAAAATCGAAAAATATATGGAAAAAATAAGCTCAACTAAGCTAAAACTCAGACTCATCGAAACAAAACCCCCCCATCCATACATCAGAAAGCAGACAAACAATCGTCAGAAATGAAAAAACAAACCTTAACATCAATCAAAAATCAGATCAAATCGCCACCCATCAACCCAACTTGGATTCTTCACGGCTCACACAAAAAACAGTATCATTTGACACAAAAGTTGAAGAACAAGCTAGAGATGTGAACTTTACCCGTAGATTCGAAGCTGGCTGAGCAGAATTCGAGTGCGAAACGAAGAGAAACCCTAGCGTTTTTAGGTTTGCGATTCTAGTGAGAAAAAAGTATATAGAGAGAGAGACTCTGAGTTGTGTGTGAAAGAGTGGAGTATTTTATCTTTTGTCCATGAAACGAGGCTTTAGTTGTATTGCCTATACACGCATATACATACATGCATGTGTATTGTAGAGAGAGAAAAAGAGAAAGTGAAGTTACGAACCAATAGGAATTTGCCAGCGAGGCAAGCTGGTGCGGTTCTTATCACTATCCACTACGCTCTTTTAGAAACCCTAGTCAAATGCTAGTCCCACACGTTTACCTCACGCGCTATTTGGAGGGTTGGTGTTTTAGTCATTTTGTCTGGTCAAGTAAGGTGGAAGATGCTTATGCACAAAAGTGGAATATGATTGGTGCGTGTGACACACGTGTTGTGGAGAGAGTGCTGTGAGGAATAGTGAGAACCCTAAATTTGTGTGNTTTTTAGTCATTTTGTCTGGTCAAGTAAGGTGGAAGATGCTTATGCACAAAAGTGGAATATGATTGGTGCGTGTAACACACGTGTTGTGGAGAGAGTGCTGTGAGGAATAGTGAGAACCCTAAATTTGTGTGGTAATAAATAAGGAGGGTAAGGTGGGGATAACCCTAAACCTGAGGCTGATACAGTGGGTGAGTAAACTTACCAAAAAAGAAAAGAATAAAAAAAAAAAAAAAATTAAAGTTGGTGGGTGGGAATCCCATGCATTTGGCCAATGGGAAAAAGAAAGACAACTTTTAGGGCACAAGTTGGGTTTCTTGGTAAAATAAAAGGGAATGAGCAAGCCCAATGGAGCGTGGAGGTGGGATTAGAAAAGATAAAGATTGGATTAATTTCAAGTATGCTATTTAATTGACACGAGATAAGGTGAAATTAATTTTAATTTGTCGAGAATTTTANCAACTTTTAGGGCACAAGTTGGGTTTCTTGGTAAAATAAAAGGGAATGAGCAAGCCCAATGGAGCATGGAGGTGGGATTAGAAAAGATAAAGATTGGATTAATTTCAAGTCTGCTATTTAATTGACACGAGATAAGGTGAAATTAATTTTAATTTGTCGAGAATTTTACATACACATAAATATTTAGATACATATACATCCTCCATCTATCTTTCTAATGGTGTCAGCTATGATGGTGAAGAAGAGGTGATGCTGGTGGCAACAACGATATGGTTGCAATGGCGTCAAGGTAGCGATATTGCCCTCGACATCAATGATGCTTATGGTGATGGTGGAAATGATGATATTAGCCACAATTAGGAGAGTGTTTTAGTCTTTTGAAACTTATTCCATNACTATGATGGTGAAGAAGAGGTGATGCTGGTGGCAACAACGATATGGTTGCAATGGCGTCAGGGTAGCGATGTTGCCCTCGACATCAATGATGCTTATGGTGATGGTGGCAATGATGATATTAGCCACAATTAGGAGAGTGTTTTAGTCTTTTGAAACTTATTCCATTCACTTCTATGAATTCCACCCCTTTTTCATACATATATCCTCCTAATTTGATGGTTTGAGGTCGGTTTAGGATTAGGTGTTTGAAATGGTATGTGCTTAATTTCTTCTTTCAAATGTGAGATATATGACTTTGGACCATGAAGTTATCTCACAGCCAAACACACCCTAAAACTAGAAGTTAAAAAAGGATAACTCATAATTATTTGGTCACTTTCACATTTAAAGGGGATTATTTATGGCCGTTACATTTGTAGGAGGTACTCTCTGATATGAGCGTTACAAATGATGAAATTACAAAAATTGTCACATTGCTAACCAAAAATGCAAAAGAGTCGGGGAGAAAATAGAGAAAAAATTTTACCTTCTATTAGAAAAAAAAGGATTATTCGTAATATTTTTTCGCTTTCACATATAAAAGTCATTATGTTTAACCATTAAATATATACATAACAACTTGTGATTTTTGACATTACAAACAATGAGATTATGTATGAGTTACTAAATTACTATGGGTTACTAACGTTCATGTCGTTTGAAATGTGAAAATTTCACTAGAAATGCATAGGTATTTATCCTTTTTAAAAGGAAAAAAAAAAAAAAGAAGTCACTTTCAATTCTATTAACAATTACATTGTTTCACATCTTATGGTTGATTATCTAATGTAGTAGAAAAACAAAGCATAACCACTTAAAACAACATAATAACAACACATTGTCCATTAAAGC